CAAGTTGCTAAAGCCTGGAAAGAGAGCTTTAATTTTCCATGGTAATTCATCTCTTCTATGGTTGTCAAATTATGGTAATTGAAACTAAGATATCAGGATTTTAAGAATTGGAAGAGTTTGGATGGCTTTTTGTGTGTTAATGAGAGACCAATAAAGTGTGCCTCAAGCTTGCACTAATCTCATTATAAGTGAATTAAAGTCTGACTAATTCAGAAATAATAGCTTGTGATTGAGATGATTTCCATTTTTGAGAGAAGGAATTAAGTCAAAATTAAGAAATGACCAGCTAGGAGTAAAGTGCTAAAATAAATAAATAAATAAGGAACTTTCCATTACAAATCTGGTTTGGAATATATTTGAATATTTCTATTTTGTTCTTTCATATTGAGCCAGTTCCAAGTCCTTAATTGGTACAGTCCTTAGTTCACTAAACGCAGTCCTGAAACTTTCTATAGTTTACATCAAAAGGAGGCATTTACTTAAAATCTCTGTTATCAGTGGACTATAACTTGCTTTGGAAACCATTTTGGATTGAAATTTCTGTTTTATTTCATTCCCAGAGGTGAATTTTATTTTGCTTAAATGTGAAGGAAACCGCTTGGCTGTTTTATGTTAATGAACTGTTAAAGAAAGGAAGAAAATATTTTTTACTGCTTGACCCTCAAATGAGGTTTTGTGCCCAGATAAATGCCTTGGAGGAAGAAATTCACACTTGGCACGAATTAAATCCTTGTGGTGGAAGTCACTTCATTAAATAAAATTTATATTCAGGTTTAATAAATTTGAACTTTTAAAAAGTAAAAGCTTCTCTGCACTGAAGTTCTTTCATGTTACATTTTATAGAGGAGTGTGGTTCTCTTGGAGATGTTCCCGATGTACAATGTGTGTCTAGGTATCCTTTACTTACTAAAAGTGAGTTTAAGAACTGAAGAGCAGCTGATAAATTGATACGGCAACAATAAGGTGCAGTTAACCCCCAGCCAACTCTGCTTGGTTTCCCAGATTTCATCTAGTATTAATATTTTACACATCTTTTTTTTAAAAGATCTTATTTAGTTATTTGTTAGAGAGAGAGAGAGCAAGAGGGGGAACACAAGCAGGGAGAGTGGGAGAGGGAGAAGCAGGGTTCCCGCGGAGCAGGGAGCCCGATGCGGGATTTGATCCCAGGGCCCCTGGATCATGACCTGAGCCAAAGGCAGACACTTAATGATTGAACCACCCAGGCACCCCAATATTTTACACACCTTATGCACATCTTGTTCCTTTTTTTATTGTTTTACATGCTCCGGAGTTAGATAAAGCTGAGTTCCAGTCCCTGGTTCTCTCTTTTCTCAATTCTCTCATCTATTAAATGGGAATAATAAAACCTTGCAAAGTTGTCGGAAGCTTATTGATAATGTACACAGAATATGTAACCTTGGCTGGATACCTATAGAACACTCAATAAAGGCTAGAATTACTATTGTTATCCACAATTTTATAATGTCTTTCAGTAATGAGGACCTTTCCAAAATCCAGCATTACCACTTTAATATCATATTTCAGTCAATTAAATGAAATAAGCTCTCACTAAATAAAGTAATACTATCTAGTAAAGGGAAGGCTTAATTCAGGGGAAAAATTAAATTATTTGTAAATCAATATGAGGTGTTAGACAATTATCGGATATTCTTTGGAAATTGCAGCAAGTGTTTCTCCTTGTTTTGTGGTTGTTTTTGTTTTTGCTAAGTAGGAAGGATTTAAATCAGTCTTTTATATTATGTGCCTTAATCTCCTATTTTTCAAGGATGCTTTTAAAATGTGTGTTTGTGGTTGGAAATATATGGGGAAAGGCTCATTTAAGTTAATGAAGCAGGTTTTTTTCTGCTTGTTTTGGTTTGATTTTTAGTAAATGATATCTTGATAATAACCCCTTGGCATTTGAACAGAGCTTTTGTAAATTATCTCAGTTAGTGATCACAACTTGGTGTCCCACCAGTCCCAACATACATTGGACTGATGAGAAGGGTAAGATCCCGAGAGGGCAAGAGGCTTATGCAAGGAGAAGAGCAAAGTCTATGACCTACATCTTCAAACTCCTAATTTAGAATTGTTTTCATTATTCCTTTCGGGGATAAGGCTAGGAAAGGAAAATAAAAGGAGGTGAAAAGCATAGAGCCTTAAGATCTTAATGATTAACACCAGAATTCACTTTTTTAAAGCAAGAAGTCATTATATCTCTTTGGTTTTAAAACATTTGGTGGTTCCCCTTTGTCTATTGTCAAGTTCAAAATTAGAAGGTATTTCTCTCATCTACAGTTCCCCATATAAATCCCAAAGTCCAGCAAAACCAAGCCATATCTTTTTATACCTCTATGCCTTTGCCTGTGGTTTATTCTCTACATACTCTTAACCCTCTTTCAATATCTATTATCTTTTTATAGCTATTCTGCAATTAATTTATCAAATGTCTACCTAATGCTTACTGTGTGCTAGGTACTTTTGGAAGTGTTTCACAAATATTAACTCAGTTAATCTTCATGATAATCCCAAGAGATAAGTAATATTATCCCATTTTACAGATGATAAAACTGAGATATTAAAACTGCAGAAGAGGTCAAGATTCCAGAAAGAGGATTTTGGTTTCAAAGTGGGTACTCTGGACCATTACACCATGTCACCTATGTACTCAGAATTTTAAAACTGAAAAACTTACCACATTCAGCCAAGACCAATGTCTAAATGGCATGCTACCTGAGGCCTCTGGGTTGTAGAATTCATTACTTTGCAAATTTACCATCAACTGGAGCCTATTCATCATCTTTTTAGACTCAGAAATCTGGTATTTTTCAGCAATCATACAAAGAACAAATCCTTTTCTTGGAGGTACACTCACAATGACTTGGCCCATGAGATTAATGTTTCAAACTAGAATGCTAGTTTATTTATTAACCTACAGTGAAAAATAGGACTACCATATGGACCAAAATACCCACATCAGCATGACAAGCACAGTCTGCCTCTCAGCAGTCCTGAGAAACCAGATCACTCTTGGCAAGTTGTTTGGTCAACATGGCATAGTAACAAGGGGTATTCCTGGGATGAACAGACGTTTGTTGGCATCCGATAAATTAGCATGGGGCATCTATATCATGATAGCAACAGCCTTGCCAATGGGACCTGGAGGATATGAAGTTCATTGGCCTTTTGCCTGGGACATTGCTGGCCTGGCCACTGACAACCATCTATCTCCATCATTCTCTTCTTTTCTATGATTGTAACACCTGCCAGCCCTTCCTTTCCTTTCCCACATTCTATTGTTAATGCATGTTAATATGTCAAACTGGTCACAGTCAGGTCTTCTGGCCTGGTACCTTTCTATTTCTTTAGGACAGCTTTTGTGTAATTATATTTTCGGATGCTATTCTCTTTTTGATAACATCCTCAAGACCTAATACAAATAATATCTAGCTTTTCCTACACTGAATTATAACGACATTTTCTTAATACCAAGGACAAAATCATATTCATTCTTCTTTGTATTCCCAGAAGTAAATGCATTGCCCAGCACATAATAGGAGCTCAATGGACATTTGCTGAACAAACAAGTAAATTAGGTGGTGGTAAATCATCGTGATTATGAGTGTAAGCTCTGAAGCTGGATGGCCTTGCTTCAAATCTCAGCTCTACTCCTTAACACTTGTGGGATTTGGACAAATTACTTACCTGAGCTTCAGTTTTCTCATCTGCAAAATGGGTATAATAATAGTACCCTATCTCCCAGGGTTCTTGAAAAGATTAAATAAATTAATACATATAACAAACTTAGAAATGTATCTGGGATTTCATAACTATTAGTTATTAGTATAATCATTCTCTCAGCATTTTATATTATATTTTTACTTGTTTTGTAAAAAGTATGACTCATTTTGCAAAGAGCAGAGTACTGCTGTCCTTGCTTTAAGTGTCATCATTGAATATTTAATCAAAAATTGTTTTTGTTTACAGAAATTCAGTAAAATGGAAACTCCCATGTAGTGCTGATGGGAGTACAGAATGGTACAATTTTATGGAATGCGATTTGGCAATATTTATCAAAAGCCTTATAAAAGTTCATTCCCTTTAGTCCAGTAATTTCCCTTCTAGAAATTTATCTATCCTACAGCCATAGTCAGAAACTTAAACAAAACATACACATGGACATAGTTTATCACACTATCATTTATCAAACCCCTAATTGGAAATTACTTAAATGACAAGTCATGGAAGAATGATTACAAATATTATGTTATCTCATTTAATGGAATATTATGTAGCTCTCAAAGCTATGTCTTCGAAGTTATTTAACAGTGTGGGAAAATGCTTCCAAAAATTTTTAAGTGAAAAAAAAAAAACTACAAAATGGTAGAGGTGATGTGATTTCCTCCACACCGAGAAGAAATCAATAAAATCAAAATAATAGTGATTATCCTTAGATGAGGCAACTCTGGGAGATTTTGTTTTTGTAGTCTTCCTATCCCAAAACCTCTACAATGAGCATGTATTTTAGAAGTAAAAATAATTCTTTAAGTACTGAGTTTTCCTGTCCTTAGATGTGTAATTTTAAGACATGTTGAATATTAAGTCCCATTTTTACCTTATGCTAGATCTACATTTTCTCAGTGAAATATCTCTTCAGTCTTACACCTGAAATAATTAGGAAGACAGGATTCATTTACAGAAAACCTTGCATTAATATTTATTTGGCTAAATAAGCACCAACTGTAAATACTTATTTTGAAAATTTTTGGAAGCAAAATGAATGCTTAGTTTCCTCCCTCATAGAGAAATCCGTTTCCACGCACAACTTCTTAAGATAACGCTGTTTAGTATTTGATAGGAACTTCTCTGAGAACATTGATACTCAGAAGAAAAGAAAGACTCTTATTAGTATTAAGAGAAACTTGTTTTTACAAGCAAATAGTTTCGATTTTGAGCCTTTCACAGGTAATAATGAGTTTGTTTTTCTTTTTATCACCTAGGAGCTGTGAGGGAAGAAATATCCGATATAGAACATGCAGTAATGTGGTAAGTATCGAGCTTCTGTGATTGTGATAATGTATTTTTTTAAGAACTGAATAATGCTACGCAGTTTTATGTATCCTGAACAAGAAATCAATTAGTGTTTCAGTAAGAGTTATTCATCTCACCCTATAGTGACAATGCAACTGTAAAAAAAATAGATATTTTAATGTTCCTCAATATAAACTTTTAATCAATTGGCCAGATTGAAACTAACTAGATTATTTCAAAATAGGGACTCTGTTCTGTACTTCTCTGCTTTCTGACTTTTCACATCTAAGTCCCTTGAGAACCAATAAAAGGAATGATAAAAGGGAAACCACTGGGGTCTTGTGAAATAAATATTAGTTAATCAAACTCAGATTTGACAAATTCATTCATTCATTCAACAAATACTGTTCCATGCCAACTATGTATGAGGCACTGCACTAGTACAAGGAAAAATAACATGTCGTCACTATCTGGAAACATCTGTGATAAAGTAAGAGATGCAGAGAGAGAAGATAGATGTGCACATAACCACATTCTAGCACAAAGTATGACAAATGCTCGAAGAAAGGGATAAAATTGTTTGTGGGTTAAAAATGGAGAGACAGCTGAAGGGTCATCAAGGAAAAAGTGTTTTAGATGGAGCTTGAGGACCAGGAGAGCTGTGACTGATCCACAATGAGTATGAGGGAGTGACAGTCAGTCCAAGTAAAGGGGACACGATGGGCAACTCTGGATGCAGAAATGTTTAAGGTGTGCTCTGCATATGAATTTGGATAGGATTGTGCCTAGCAGTATGGAAGAAAAGAACTGAAAAATATTTTGAGGTTATACCTTGAACAGATTTGAATGTTAGTCTTCCAAGCTTATATTATTTCAGTGAATATTGGGGGATCACCAGAGGCTTTGGAGCAAGGGGATGATATTATAGTTTCTTTCACTTCAGGAAGATTAATTCTGTCATGATATGAGGGATGCTGTGGAACAGGAAATCAATGGGGAGCAAGACACAATCAGCACTTAAACCAGCGCTTTTATCTCAGAAGAGATAAAAATTAAGGTCCTTTTGCAAGACCTAACAAGCAATTTAAATTAGAATGATGAACTGAAGTGAGAGTTAAGGAAACAGAGAGGTGTGTACATATTTAGAGCTCTTGTACTGTCCCATCCTCTGTTAGAGTAGCTCTTTCCTCACTAGCTACATGATTGGCATTTTCCTTATTCCAGACATCTCAAATGCCACCTCCTCAGAGAGGTTTCCTTGACCATCTTATCTGATGTGCTTGTCCCACTGCCCAATCCCAACTCTCAGAACAATCTTGCTTCCTTTATAGTACTTTGACTTTCTTCATAGAACTAATCTCTACCAAAATTTATATTCTTTGATTACTTGTTTGTTTTCTGTTTTCCCACTCTAGAATGTAAACTCCATGAGGATAGGAACCTCATGCATCATGTTCTCCCCTTTATCCCCCCATGCCTGGAACTGTTGACTCACACCTATTAAGCACATGATAGAAATTTGCTGAATTTAAATGAATACTCAGAATGGTGGATACCATCATCAAAACTAGGAACATTGGGAGGAAGTTTGGGAGAGAGAAATGAGAAATTTGATTTAAGGACACTATGGAGTTTGACATGCAGGCTGGATTTGTAGGTGGTATATTCAACTGTGCAATGGGGATTTGATCTCAGGAAAGGGATCAAGGCATGAGCCATAGGAACACAAATAAGATGTATAAAATTTGAAGATTGGGAAGCAGTTCCTTAGGTAGAGCATGTAGAATCATAAGAGGAAAAAAGCTCAGAACTTTGGTAAATGTCTGTATTCAGAGAGAAAGAGCAAGAGTGCCAGGTAAACCACAAAAGGCACCATGAGAGAAGTAGCAGAAGAAATAAGGATTCCTAAAGGTGTTCAGTAGGATAAATGTTGCCAATAGGTTGAACACTGAAAAAAAAAGCCTGCTGGGGCAATGGTTTATATGGTGTACTAGGAACAAAAATCAAGATAACAGGGGGTAAAAATGAATATCAATGAGAAAATGGAGTCGATGGGTATAAGCTATTCTTATTAAATATTAACAGAGGTATTTCATCATCTGTGGAGTCACATAAAGGTAGGTGGGTAGTTGGTCTGTTTGCAATGAGTAAACCTTGAGAAATAAGTTGATCTAAAAGGAGAGATTGATGATATGAGATGAGGGGACACAGTGGGTGACAGGAAGAGGAATCTTGGTAAAGGAAAAGGCCATATGCCTCACTCTGAGAAAATAGAAGCAAACTGAGAGAGGAAGGATGAGGAACTAGAAAGATTTTGAAGAAAAGTTGAGGCTGCTCAGGATATACAGGCTCAAGCTTCCCTGTAGAGTTTTCTCTGTCACCTGCTGAAAATGAAGGAGGTGAGTTGAACTTGAAGAAGTGAGCATGAAGATCTACAACAGCCACTGGGGGAATCAAGTGGAAGCCAGCAAAGCAAAATAGGGAATTGTTAGGTGGCAAAGAGGGGCTTCAGCTCAGGCCAAAAAGCTTGATCTGACAGAGAACAAGGGGAGAAGGGTGTTAGGACTTAGTCCAGTGGTGCACTGGGGCAGGAATAGAGAAAACTGGCATTAGGGGTGACCTGCTGCCAGAGTACAGATGAGATGAGCCGAGAGAGACCAAGATGAACAAAAGTATGTATATTTTTAACCCCCGACGAGGGAGAGTGCACGCAACTAGAAGACATGATCTTTAGGAATCAGAGTTATTGTTCAGTGGAAAATTTTGCCTAGTTCATTTCCTTATTTCCACTGAGAACACTAGGTGCCACATAGGTTTAACTGCCGATTGGTTAGAAGAATCAAATCTGTAGTTCTTGAATTTTGAAAAAATGGTATTGACAGAGTTTGTTTTAGAAACAGTATAAAAAATGTTTAATGGAAATATACTTTAGCTCATTGGTTTTCTTTACTATCCCTTTTAAAGTAGTGATATCTTGTGTATCAGGGTTATTTTTTTTTTTAACTACCATGATGTTATTTAAGAATCTCCATAATGTCCATTCTGGTTCTTTATAAAAGCTTTTAAAATAGTGGAAAGGGTCCAAACTCTCCTAAGTAGATGAATGCCTAAAGCATCATGAGCAGATGTCTGCCTACCCTTTCCTTAAAGCTCTTCAGAAACAGCCCACAATTTCCTTGCTATCATTATGAGCACTTTCGTGGACAGATGTAGGCTAAGACTCAGACCTAACTTTATTTAAAACCCACAGTGTTACCTGAGCCAATTCTTTACAGCTTGCAGAATCAAACTGACCCTGAGTTTTTTATGAGAATCTAAAGTCTTCAAATCATTTGAAGCTTTTTTTTTTTTTTTTCTGGCTTTTGGCCACAACAGAAGCAACATTGCCAAAACACAAATGAAAAATCTCATAAGAAAGAATCTTTTCATAATCACATTCCAGTTTCTCAAACTAAGCAGCTCAGGGCAATTAAGTTAAATATTCCCCTTTTAAGTACCTGTTTTGGAAAAACTCAAGGGTCTCTTGTTAGCTAAGTGTCCAGGGTCAGTCCTTAATCCCTGACAGCTTTCTGAGGCTCTTCTGAACCTCTTCTCCACAGATTCACCCTCTTTTTCTATTCTTCATAGGTGCCGCATATGACATTTCTTTAGGTTCTTATTCTCCGAGGCTGAGGAGGAGAAAGTATCTCCTCGCTTTTCTAATTTTTCTGCATTGCCTGAAAAATCAGCTCACATGCTTTTATGGTTTTCTTGTCAATCACTCTACAGACAGGGGGATATCAATAAAGGAAGTTCCCATGATGTTTGCCTAGTTCTCATAGTCATGCTACTTTCTTTTTTTTTTTTTTTTAAGATTTTATTTATTTATTTGAGAGAGAGAAAGCATGAGCAGGGGGTGGGGCAGAGGGAGAGGGAGAAACAAGCTCCTCACTGAGCAAGGAGCCCAATGCGAGGCTAGATCCCAAAACCCTGAAATCATGACTTGAGCCGAAGGCAGATGCTTAACCAACTGAGCCACCCAGGCACCCCCATGCTACCTTCTTCTACTATTTCTAGCTGGTCCAAGTAGACTATTTTCATTTCTAAGGACATAGTGCATTCAACCTTTCCCATTTCACAGTCCCTGCTCCTGTGTAGGAAAGTGGCAGGCCCCTCTCAATCTGTAAGGAAAGGCTAAGAATACTATTGGGAAAAACAATAGGTGTCAACTAGCAAACCACTCAAGTGGGTCATTTAAGTCTCAGATCATCCCTGGGACTCCTCAAAAAGGTTTCCTTAGGTCACATCTTCATGCTTATTCAAATTAGACCTCAACTCTGGGCCCCTTGATCTTAAGTAGGCATTTTAAATTTACTTTCAAAGTGTTTAGACTAATATCGTGTTACTTATAAACTGTTTCTTTGTCACCATCCTTAATCTTCACAAGAGTTTGGAAGCCACATTTCTGTATCTCTTCTAGAACTCTTCCAGAATTGAGCAGGCAGGGAATTCTGTGCTAAGAGGTCACGGAAGGTCCATGTCTGATTTTCTCACCAGTGTACATCCAGTGTCTAGCACGAATTGTCTAACAACGGCTTCTGAAACAGTGTGTCAGGGAACACAGCCACCTGACAGGTCTGCCCTGGGATATTTTAAATATTCAAAGGAACCACAGCAATGCTTGACATGTGTTGGGCACTATGCAAACTACTAGATCATGCTATATTCCTTTCTGTGACATCTTTGCTAAGTTGGTGAATAAGCAACAAACCCAGTTCTCCTGAAGCTTTGATTAAAAACAAGTACTGTGAGGGGCACCTGGATAGCTCAGTCCATTAAGCATCTACCTCCAGCTCAGGTCATGATCCCAGGGTCCTGGGATCGAGCCCCACATTGGGCTCCCTGCTCCTTGGGGAACCTGCTTCTCCCTCTCCCTCTGCCTGCCACTCCCCCTGCTTGTGCTGTCTCCCTCTCTCTCCCTCTGTCAAAATAAATAAATAAAATCTTAAAAAAAAAAAAAAGTGAGTACTGTGAGG